TTGAGACAGGGTCTTGTGCTCTGTCACCCAGGCTGAAATGCAATAGCATGATCTCAACTCACCACAACCTCCAGCTCCTGGGCTCAAGTGATTCCACCACCTCAGCCTCCCAAGTAGCTGGGACCACCATGCCCTGCTAGTTTTTGTGTTTTTTTTTTTTGGTAGACATGGGGCTCTCACCATGTTGACCAGGCTGGTCTCAAGTGATTCACCCACCTTGGCCTCCCAAAGTGCTAACATTACAAACATGAACCACTGCGCCCAGCCTGGATTTTTCTTTAGACTTCCCTTGCCCACAGGTACATAGAGGTAACCTATACCTGGTCACTGATAAAATGAACTCAAAGACACTTCAAGTGTTTAAGATACATCTTCAGCTGGGCACGGTGGTTCACGCCTGTAATCCCAGCACTTTGGGAGGCAAAGGCAGGAGGATCACGAGGTCAGGAATTTGAGACCAGCCTGGCCAATATGGCGAAACCCTGTCTCTACTAAAACTACAAAAATTAGCAGGGCGTGGTGGTGCGCGCCTGTAATCCCAGCTACTCAGGAGGCTGAGGCAGGAGAATCGCTTCAATCCAGGAGACAAAGGTTACAGTGAGTCGAGACAGAGCCACTGCACTCCAGCCTGGGTAACAGATCAAGACTCCGTGTTAAAAAAAAGATACATCTTCTTCAGTCTTGTTTTCCCACCTTCTGACAAGCCAATTCAGTTCTTTGATGTTTTGTGTCTAAACCATGTGAATCTACAACTTTACTAAAAAGCTTCACAAATGAAGCCCTAAACAAAAGCCAACATGATTTCCCCTGACTCCATTCAACAAAACAAATCAGTTTTCAGACTTGCACAGACTGAAATCTCCTACTGCAATCCTAGCTAGCTCAATTCAGTGTGTATTCTTCGTAGAGAAGAAGATTCCAAGGGAAGGAGGTGGTGGGCTGAGACCACTCTGCAGGGGACCAACTTGGTCGCTGGACTCCTAGCCCCAGGCTCTTTCAACGAATAGAACCAGGAGATATCCAGGCATTCTCAGACAGAAGAACCACAGGAAGGCCATTAAGATTAAAAGATTGCACTGCAGTTTATCTAAAGCGACCTTTAATGAAACAACCTAAGGATTTAAAACGACTCGCATCCCCAGTATGGGGTGCCATCTACTGGCCTGGGAAGATGTCTGTGATGTTAGACAAAAGCCAAAAGCAGAAAGTGCTTACCTTAAGATGGGGGTGAGGGCAGCAAAACATCTGTGCTTAAGATGTGTCTATTTAAATCATGGAAAAGTTAACATAGGAGGCAGTGACAAGGAACCCTGCACTGGGTCCAAGGACCCTTTGGCCAGGATGCAAAGCCCTCTTGAAGCAGCAAGCAGATGTCTACCTGGGCTCAGTTCCTAGCCAAAGCCAGGTGCTAGGAAACTGGAGAATGTGCGCCCTCCGTCTCCCGGCCTGCCCCTCAGGAAGTGAGAAAAGCACAGGCCTCACCGTGTGGTTGGCGCCACAGGCCACGTCCCGTACCACCACGTTTGGTACAGGCAGGATCTGTCCATCTTTCGTCTTCTCGATGAAGATGGCCACTCGCCGGGGGACAAGTTCACAGTCGTACTCTATCCGCTGTGCCCGGGCGATGAACTTCCCATCCGAGTTGTGTCCTGTAGAGACCACAGGGCCAGCCATTAGCAGCAGCGGGGCATGGGCACCAGGGACATGTCAGTGTGCTCACATCGAGTCTGCAGTGCGCCCCAAGCAGCACCCCAATCTGGCCCTTCTGGGCCTTACCAGGACACATTGGTCAACAAAGGCAACATTTTCCAATCTGAGGCACAGCACAATGAGTGGGTCAATGAAATCAATTTTGTGAGCTGAGACCAGTTATTTTTTAAAAATGAATAGAACAGAATGACAAAGAATACATATAATAATGCCACCATATTCTAACAATTCTAGGTATGGTATTATACATTCAAACTGGGTTGCAACGGAAAATTTATTTCTTACTATGGGTTGCAGTCAAAGAAGCTGAAGCTGTGGATCAAGGACTGGTCTATCAAGTAAGATCTCTACTCCACTTGAGGAATCACAAAGAGCCCCTAGACGGGCCAGGAATGAACAGAAAAGCTCCACACACAATCCTAAGATCTCTGCTTTTATGAATTACCAGTAACCTGCACGTATGGTTATATGTGCCTAAAGCCTGCAATTCCTATACTCCAAATGACCCAGGGACTGGTTCGCAAGGACCCAGCTCAGCACACCACACACCAGGAGCCAGGCTGCTCCAGTCCTGAGAAGACGCCAGACTATCCATGCCCCTGCAGCCACCCACAGCACAGGGCTGCTACGTAGTTTGTAGTTTTAAACTGCTCCTATTCCCAAACTGTAATCATCGGTTTGGCCGGGTGCAGTAACTCACACCTGTAATCCCAGCACGTTGAGGGGCTGAGGCAGGAGGATCACCTGAGGTCGGGAATCAGAGACCAGCCTGGCCAACATAGCGAAACCCCGTCTCTACTTAAAAACAAAACAAAACAAAACAAAATGCCTTTCCGGCGGTGACGACCTACCCACGAGAACATCCCTCTCCAGAAGAGGAGAAGAGGAAACACAAGAAGAAACGCCTGGTGCAGAGCCCCAAGTCCTACTTCGTGGATGTGAAATGCCCAGGATGCTATAAAATCACCACGGTCTTTAGCCACGCACAAACGGTAGTTTTGTGTGTTGGCTGCTCCACTATCCTCTGCCAGCCTACAGGAGGAAAAGCAAGGCTTACAGAAGGATGTTCTTTCAGGAGGAAGCAGCACTGAAAGCACTCTGAATCAAGATGAGTGGGAAACCATCTCAATAAACACATTTTGGATTAAAAAAAAAAAAAATTAGCCAGGTTTGGTGGTGGATGCCTATAGTCCCAGCTACTGGGGACACTGAGGCAGGAGAATCGCTTGAACCTGGGAGGTGGAGGTTGCAGCGCGCAGAGATTGTGCCATTGCACTCCAGGCTGGGCAACAGAGCAAGATTGTCTCAAAACATACAAAAACTGTCATATTACAGTTTGTAAACTAGCCCCCGGCTTGTGGCTAATCCCCCTCCAGACAGCATGCTTGTGTGTACTTCAGCCCTCACAGGTATGTGTGTGTTTAAGCAGTGTGCTATTTAAATACAGTCAGCCTCCATGGCCACGGGTTCAACCAACTGTAGTCCAAAAATGTCTGGGGGGAGGTGGAAACAATAAAAGATAATACAAATAAGACCATACGGTAGAACTATTTACATAACATTCACACCGTGTTAGGTACTGAAGTAATCTAGAGATGATTTTAAGTATACAGGTCACATGCAGATACTATGCCACTTTACGTAAGACACCAGAGCATCTCCAGACCTTGGTATCTATGGGGGTACTGGAAGCAATCCCTCAAGTTACCAAGAAGCAGCTGTGCCCTGGGATCACAAATAAAACACGCACAATAACATCACTGGGCTTGTTGGCTGGTGTGGTGGGCTCATGCCTGTAATCCCAGCACTCTGGGAGGCCAAGGTAGTGGATCACTTGAGGTCAGGAGTTTGAGACCATCCTGGTCAACATGGTGAAACCCCATCTCTACTAAAAATACAAAAAAAATTAGCTAGGTGAAGTGGCGGGCACCTGTAGTCCCAGCTACTCAGGAGTCAGAGGCAGGAGAATCGCTGGAACCCGGGAAGTGGAAGTTGCAGTGAACGAAGATCAAGCTGCAGCACTCCAGCCTGGGCCACAGAGCGATGCTCTGGTTCCCTTATCTTGGCGTTGCCCTGGCCCAGTAAGTGCACTGCAAAAATGGGAGCACGGGGCCAGAGCATGTGCGGATGAGACCCTGCCAGGGTCGGCTTAGGTTCTCCTTCTGCAAGATCTACCTGGATTCTGACGAAACCGAAAACCTGCCTTCAAGCAAGTCATACGCTGAGAATAAGCGATTCTGCAGTTACAAATCAGGCCGATTCCCAAACTACCCGCAAGTGAGTGTAACAGAGCACCTGAGAGTTCGTACAAAATGCTTACATGGTGCCCGGCACACCTAGTCACTGCTCCATGAAAGTGAGCCATTTTTATCACAACCAGCATGTCACGCTTCCTGATGGAAAATCGACTTGCTAGGGTGCAGAGGGGAGGCCGAGGCAGCAGGAGCGCGCACGTGGCAGGAAGGGGACGCTGCTGGGCACCACAGCAGGGCCGTGGCCATGGAAACGCTCTCCAACTGTCTCGGGCTCCGCCCCGGCAACCAAAGCGAAATGTGCGTAAGGGGCTGTTNACCGTCCGCCACGTGCCTTCTCTGGGCCAGGAAACGAGGCAAGGCCTCCTGTTTCCTTCCTGGCCGGCGGGCTCCCTTCACCTCTTCCGTTCCAGTCTTATTCACTTCTGACTTGAGGTATATTTAGTTTCACAAAGTCACTGTTCCCCGAGGCTAAGGCCAGCGGGCTCGGCGCTATTTTTACCTTTTCCATCTGCCAGACGCTGCGGCTGCAGGAGCGCGCGCGGCCAGCAGAGGGCACCCGCGCCACGCCTCGGAGAGGCCTCCCCAGAGGGGCTGGAGGCGGAGCAGCAGCAGGGAACCCTACTTGGGGGGGGGGAGGGGAATCGGAAGGGACCATCGAGTCGGAAGACACTCCCCCCACTGACTGGGAACTGCTGCCAGAATTCTCCTTTTCTGCCAATGAGCTAGAAGGAAACAGGTTTCTGCACAACTAGGTTCTGGCTAGGGATGACGCAGGAGGAGGGGGTCCACCGGGGCTCCTCACGTGGGAACCTGAAATAATCGTCCAGGCCAGGGTTTCCAGAACAACCTTAAACTTGTGTAATTTTCTCATTTTCAATAGAGGCATAATCTTTAAATGTGAAATTGAATGAAGGTGGTTTTTTTTTTTTTTTTAAACTTTGAAATCCCTTTATATAAATGAATTCCCAAATCAGGAAAAAAAAGAATCTTTTGTTGGATTCCAGTCCCGGCTTTTCCATTGAGGCAGCATTGTCATACTCCATAATCCTGTCAATGAGGATGCGCTGTTCCAGTGAATGTGAGATCCACTTAATGGACAAAGGCTATTATCTGAGATCAATTACCCACATTTCAACACGTGTGTGCAGCCCCACACTGATCTCTGGTTCTGAATATACACAGATTACAGAGCTTTTAAAAATTGTACTTCCATACCCAGCTGACCATATTCAGGGCACCCAAAGGAATAGAGGTTTCCTTTGCAGTCCATTATCATACTGAATTCAGCCCCACAGGCCATTTTGGTAATTGGCTGGCCGTTGTACATTATCTGAAAAGAAAAGACAGGAGACATTCATTTTTCTAAAAAAGACTGATAAAAAGTCTCTACCTCTCCGCATGTTGGTAGGAAACAGTTACTAGGTTACAAAGGGAAGTTTAATAAACTTGAGAATTCTAAAGGCAAAAGCTGACACAAAGCTTAGAAGACAGGTAAAGAAACACCCTCACACCCCTACCTTCCCAGCAGAGTGGAGTTCAAAGCTTAGCCACTGTCTCTTTAAGATCAATAAAAACAAGTCCTTCCCTTCCTTCATCACTAATTAGGCACTTAGCATTCTTCTACCTTTAATAGTTTGTTTTTAAGGTATAAATCTCACCCCCCCAACTCAAGTTTCTCCGGAAAAAAAAATACTGCCTATCTCCCAGGCACGGTGGCTCACGCCTGTAATCCCAACCTCAGCACTCCGGAGGCCGAGGGGGGGCGGACCATGAGGTCAAGAGATCAAGACCATCGAGGCCAACATGGTGAAACCCAGACTTTACTAAAAAATACAAAAATTAGCTGATCTAGCTAATTAGTAGACCTAGCTAATTGGGAGGCTGAGGCAGGAGAATCACTTGAACCTGGGAGGGGGATGTTGCAGTGAGCTGAGACAGTGCCACTGCACTCCAGCCTGGTGACAGATCAACACTCCATCTCCGAAATATGAAGAAGAAGAAGAAGAAAAAAAAAAAAAAAAGGGACCGCCCATCTCTTATTTGTGTTCTAAGCACTTGGAGTGACTTTACACAAGGTAAAAACAAAGTATTTGCAGGTTACTACAATTACCTGCAAATTTCTTTGAACAGAACAGGCTTATGACAAGGCATTTCTAACAGATTTCTCCATTTGGAAACAAAATGTTTTCAGGATGGTTTTCAACCTGACCACAAACTAAGCCTGTGTTAAAAACTATAGCATGGCCGGGAGCGGTGGCTTCCGCCTGTAATCCCAGCACTTCGGGAGGCCAAGGCAGGTGGTCACCTGAGGTTGGGAGTTGGAGACCAGCCTGACGATCATGGAGAAACTCCATCTCTACTAAATATACAAAATTAGCTGGGAGTGGTGACGCATGCCTGTAATCCCATTCAGGAGGCTGAGGTGGGAGAACCACTTGAACCCAGGAGGCGGAGGTTGCAGTGAGCCAAGATTGAGCCATTGCACTCCAGCCTCGGCAACGAGAGCAAAACTCAAAAATAATAAATAACAAAACCAAAAACAAAGAAAACCCTACAGCATGTAACTAAACATCCAGACCTTCTTTTTACAAGGGATGAATTAACTCAAACAATGGAGACTCCACCTCAGAAAATCAAACACACAGGTAAAGAGAAACAAGAGGCCGTGGAGCTGGAGCTGAGGAGGGGTCACCTGCGCGGGGCTGGGGACAGCGTCTGTCTGGTTGCCAAGGCCCAGCTGCCCCATCTTGTTCTCCCCAAATGCAAACACGGAGCCAGTATCTGGAAGGAAAGAAAAACATCACAAAAGGGAAGATAATGCTGAATGTTTTAACTAGATTTAGAATCAAAGGCATCAAAATAATAAAAACAGCTCATTTGCCAGGCAGAAGGCAAGTGAGACAACGTCCAAAAGCTGCAGTGCAGACGTTTCGCAGCAAAGCCGTTTCACATCCGAAGCTGGGTGTGCAGAGCAACCAGGGCGGCATCTCCCACTCCCAGATGGGCCTCCCATGGCACCAGGGAGCCCAGTGCCCTCAAGCGGCCACTCCCCACGTGGATTCTCAGGGCCTCTTTCTGATCCTGACCAAGAGGCACAGGGGTGACTCCACGCCCCCACCCCCCAAGGCAGACCATCTGGCCTCCTGCCACACTGATAAGAGACCCCAGCAGTCCTCTGCTTACCCGTCAAGGCCAAGGTGTGGTTCCGCCCACATGCTGCAGACACAATCACTTCGTGGCTGAGACCCTCAATGAGTCTGGGGGCTTCCACTCTCTTGGTGTCCCCGTGTCCCAGCTGCCCCTTCTCATTTCGACCTGCAGATCACATGAGAGAAAGTACAGAGGAGGGAAGGTGGTCCAGGCGGCACCGCCAGGCGAGTACAAACACACTCTCAAATTCTGACACCCATCTGCGTCTCCAGAAGATATCCTCCAAATTCCCAGCAAACAGCCAAGATCCAGAGCAAAGAATGCTCCAGTCCTCCTCCGCCCACAGGAATGTCGCCTGCTGCAGCTCCCCCAACCTCCTTCCCTGGGGCAGCAGCGGGACCACCCATGCTACAAAGGGAAATGGGAGCGGCTCAGTGAGGTATGGGCACCATTCACAGAAACGCGCGGTTCCCACTTGGAGTGTCTGAGAGACAACCACCCCGTTCCTACCCTCGGAGATGTGTTTTAAGACAGCGCCCATCTTGACACCTGGCTCACCAGAGTTGAATCACTTCAGTGCTCTGGGCATCCACTGAGGACCAGTTAGTGTCCGCTCTCTATTTCTCTTCCTTTTTCTACCCTGTAAATGACGCTTACAGACCAGTGCCAATTCCACCCCAAGGGATCGCCCCTCAAGGACTCTCAGTGACAGGAACCCTGGTGGCAAAGCACAGATCTGC